AATCTGAATTCATGGTACCCATAATACTTTATAACACAACTGTTATTCAGGATTATATGATAGATATCAAGTCAAAATAGGAAGTCCCACCCTAGATAGGATATAACTAAAAATTATTATTTTAGGAGAAGCCTAGGTTATGAGGGCAGAGGTAATTGTAATATGGCGATTGCCAAATGGCTCTGTCAAATTATTGGTGAACTCTGCTCTAATTTCCATAGCAGATTCTGTCATACCCTGCCAATAGGAAGTAGTCCGAGAGAGGAAGTTCAGGAAAAGTTTATACCAGAGCGAATCACAAGAAGCGATTTCTTTACTGTACGAGGTGACTTTTGGGAACCCCTGTAGATGTTTTTCTTTGCCCTAAAACATGATCTGATTTTGTTTTCCAACTTAACGTTAATAAGAATTTTTATCCTACACGTTTATCCAACATTCATTTTCTTCACTGGAGAAAGTATGTAAAGTTTTAGATATCGTAAATGCTGCTTCCACCTTTAAAGCAATACATTTAACATGACTATTCCTGTAATCTGTTGCTCAATCTCAGGCATTCCCCTGGAGGTTTTGGCAATGGCTGTTAGACGCTATTGTTATTTCTACACTATATTGCGGGAACCTGCTTCCATCAGAGGTTTAAATTTCTGTTGTAATGTTACCTTTCATTAAATATTTCTCATGCATGCACAAAAGGTTCACTCTTCTCTCCTTTGGACACGGTACATTCTGTCGATTACCATGTTACCCATTGAGGAGGTCCTTGGCAAGCTTAGACCTGGTGGCATCATTCAGTGTTTTACAGATGTTAACCCAGGTATGCTCCCAAGGAAACCATATTTATTTAGATTACTGACATTAGCTATCCTGGGAGACGCTTCCAGAAACAAAGATCTTGTTTCCAGTGCTATCGCTAGCCTACAAGTAGCGGCAGATTACCAACTACAAAACGTCACCAGTAGTGACAGGGAGTTACCTGCTGCCGCTACCTGAAGCCAGTCACTAGGTAGTGAATAATGGCTCCCATAATTCTCTATCAAAGCTGCTAACCACTACTAATGACTACATTTTGCTAATTACTCTCTAACCTTAACTCCAGCTTCTTGCCTGTTGCAAATAAATTAAGAGTTGCTAACTGTTAAGACACCCCTAGTGTCTTTAAGCAAAACCGCCGTTTAGTCAACCTTCCCCGTCTGTAATACCAATCATCTCCGTTCGCATAACCTGTAGTGCACGAACCAAATGCAGGGGAAGTGGCAATCTCCCGACCGGGATCCGTGAACGGCTCCAAACTCCCGAACGGTAATCCACGAACTGCTGCTAGCCGCCGAACAATAACATCCACCAAGCGGCTTTCGTTTCCATCCAGCTGTCTCTAAACGCAAAGAAGAAATCCCCCCAATAACGAGACAGAAGCTCCGCATTGAGGGTCAAACAGGATCTGGCTTTACTGTGGGCTACCTGCCCGTATTTATTCAGGTCTCCCACTTGGTGGACACTCCCCTAGGGGACCAAATGGGAGACTTAAATGACAGACAGATATGGGAACATTCCAGACACACAGTCACAGTTTTTACCCACAATGCACTATGATTCCCTCCCCTCTGCCCTGGAAATAATTACCAAGTAACTCAATTATCTCCAGGACAAAGTCAGTCACCATTTTAAATATAAAATCAGAAAAGACATAAAAATACATAACTTTAAAATAACCGAACATTTCCCATTCGCATCACATATCCCCAGATAGCCTGGATCTGAGTACATATTATTGGCGAATAGCACTCAGATCCCACACACATAGTTCAATCGCCATGGAGTCAAAGTTCTTACAGTCTTTCGTGATACGAATGACTCAATGGGAAGGCTATCTGGGTTAAGTCCTTTCGTATGCTTCCAAACTCCCGAACGGCCGGTATTCGTATGTTTTCGTGGAGGCAGCCAGGCGTTCCGTTGTTTCAGTGGTGTTCGGCAGAAAAAGTGTCCGTTTTTAGTTCCATGAAAATAGCGCCAAACACCGCTGGGCTTTCGCGTGGTTTAAAATGGCCGCTGCCTCGTGGTCGACATACGAACGACGACCACCCTGAATTCGTTTAATTGAGAAGTGTCTGCGGTTAACCACAACGTTCTAATTGGGATCAATAGGTTAACCAGCAGCACACTTCTCTCCTGGGTGGCCGTCTGTTCGGCAGGTTTGTTCGGGAAAAAACAGTCATTCGTATGGCTGGGCTATAGAAAACAGCCATTTACACGAACAGGATAGAAACAGACGAATACACCTGCAATAAACAGACAGATGGTTCTGTCACACTAACTCCCCGTGCATCTTATAGGAAAATACCTGTTAGCTATGTGTCATTTCCTTGAAACCATAAAACCCATATCAAATCAAGAGCCCATACAGTAAATAGAAAGGCTGATATATAATGTAAAAAATGAGATAATTCTTTATATAAGTAAAGTGCATAGTGTTACTGAAATGGACAAGTCACAAAATAGAAAACAACTACAAGGATTCCATAGATCTGTATCAGGCACGCAATCCCATTTTAATGCATTATATACAGTGTCGACCAATCAAAGGGTGAGGGACGCATGCTCACAGTCAGCCTTTTTTAACGGTAAAGTGTGACACCTTGAACAGTGTGTGTCTACCAGTGAGTGGCTAAACGGAGAGCAGATGTTATTGGCAGACATCTGGTTCGTGGGGTACCCGATACTAAGTAGCGGCAGCTTATGGCAGCAATTTACAAACAAGGTTATAAACGAGCACACTGGGATTTTAATGGCTTCCTGGAGTATTCTATATCCGCTCTTAAAGTGACTGTAGTTGAACGAGCACTTTACACTGTAAATTATGGTAATGTTAATGATTTGATTCCAATGCTCTCTGCCTGATTATAGCTAAAGTTATCATTGCATACCCCTTTCCAGCCTTGTGGAGCGTCTTTTGATCTGCTTGTGACTAGCCTCACAAAACAGAGTTAGTTTGTCCTTATTGTGTAGAGATGTTTCATATTAATGACCCGAAAGGTCAACACCTGATTGATCTGAATGTGGAAAATCCGATTCAAAGAACAAGCTCACATTGAATAATGTTGCAGGAAAGAATTTGGGAGGGTTTTCAAGAAACACAAAATAGTCTCTAAATTTTCGTTGAATTTGATGTCTTTCAGCTCACACCTGTAAAGAGTGGGTGGGGGCTATAACATTCAAAAATTGAGGCACATTCTAATGACTGTGGGAGCAAAAAGTTAATTAAATAATGTGTCAGACTATGACTCTATCTCCCAAATCTTACACAAAAGCCGTTATCACTATCCCTGACTTTTACCACCTATTCCCCCATGTCTTACACCAGAGAGCGCCTCTTCCCAGTACTGGCAGATGGTTCCAGAGACCTGGAGAAAACCGCGAGGACTGTAGTGAGCATTAGTCCTATTTCTCTGGAACTTTGGCTCGGCTGTGGTCACCAACATTGGCCGGTCTACTTTCACCTCTGTTTTCCCCCACTTCCCGGAAAGCCAGGAGAACTCTTTCCTTTCAGTCTGAAGGAACTCCCAATATTTGTCCATCAAAAGAGACAATTGACATGAAACTCTGTTCGGCGTAGACTTTGATTGCGGATTGTCAAATCTTCCCCCCGATGGCGATTTGCCAATTCTTAATGGATCCAAGCGCTATGTTTCCAACATGGGCAATCATTTCAGAGATATCCGAGGATGTATCACATGTGGGGGTTCCTGCCTATTTTTTTGTGTTTTGGAGGTTATTTCATGTTAGGATCTCTGTGT